CTTCCTGACTTCCATAAGTGGGATTATGGGCACACATCACCATGCCTGCTCCCTGTGCTCTTCTGAGGTGTTTGTAAGGGAGCACTACCATCAGCATTTGTAGAAACAACATACAGCATTATTCTAAATAAAAGAAGTCCTTTGTATGGAGCCTCAGCATGGGACTCTGCTCTCCTCTGTGGAGCTGATTTCCTCTGGCCCAGAGTAGCTTTTGTCTCCTTTGAGCTTTGGAAACTTGGCATGTGGTGTATGCCACCTGAGGAGTGCACACCTTTGGAGAAGTCACATGACATCTCGGTGGCCGTGCTTTCCTACCCTTCAGTGGCTTTCACACCATGCTGTGGAGCAGGAAGAGACCTCCTCACTGTTCCCTGAAGACTGTACAGTGGTCGAAGTTGTCTGTCAGTTCCCCCGCTGCCAACAGGAGCAGAAACCCACAGGCAGTCTCTGACCAGTGTGGTCCGTCTGTCTGCACCCTGGATGGCCTGCAGAGTTCAGTCTGTGCCACACATACTGCAGCTTCCCTGTCTGAGGGCAGCGGGACTTATTTCTAGTTTTGAAAATCACAGTGGAGAAGATGTTCCAAACTGCTCTCCAGTGATTTTACTATTTAGCAAGATAAATGTTTGGGAAACATTTTGGAAAAGGAAGGGTCCTGTGGAACTTAGCCCTATTGCTGACCTGTATGAAAAGCACCACATCACTGCAGATGGCTGCAGGACCTGGGATGCCAGCAAGCTAACCAGGATGGCATGTTGACGGGAACTGTGTGATTGTCTATGAGACATTAAACCAAAGAGCTGAAACTTTGCTTTTCAATGAGCCCTGAATTCCCTTGGGGGGATGGGTAAATCCTAACTGCAAAAGACCCTAGCCACTTTTCATAACCCCAGCTTGACACTGAGTGCCACTTTAAGTACTGAACTCAGTCATATGCATTTTCCCCATCTCGACCAAAAACATGTAGAAGTTGCAGAAGACACAGTGAACCCATAGCTCCCGCAGAATTCTTCACAACCCTGCAGTGGAAAGGAAGCCTTGACGGAAGGACCAGGCAGACCCTCAGAGCCCAAAACCTACACTGCAGAGAGGCCGGAGGCTGCGGAATGTCCTGCCTCACACCTGAGTCACCTTGAGAGGAGACAGAATCGCACCTGTTCAGGCCACATGAGAGCAAGTCAGGAACTTTAGCGCAAAGTGTCAAAATCCTCAGCCAACACAGCCGGGAACCTCCCAGTACCCGAGACCCCTGTGTGGCAGAAGCCGGGCACAGCACTGATCCCCAGTGTGGTGGAAGGCCAATTGGGCCCCTGAAGACTGACGCCCGAGGAATCCAAATCAGGAGCCGAAGCACAGAACAGAAACCTGAGTTTGTTCCTTAAGAACTGTCCATGAGAACGAAGAGGATTTACAAAGGAAGAGCCGGTCATCTTGGAAAAGCCCACCAGGAACTTTAGAAATTAAAATATACTTATTGAACGCTTAGGAACTTAGTAGCCGGTGAAAACGCAGTTCAGCGGTACTGAAAACCAGCACCGAAAGCCCCGACGTGGAAGGGGGGACCCGAGGATCTGAGCCAAAGTTCCCGAGGGAAAAATCGGGCGGGTGTGGAGGCCTCCAGAGGGGCTGCCCAGCCCAGGGGAGCCGGGGGGAAGGGCTGGAAGGAAGGGGGTGCTGAATGAGGTCATCGTTGGTCATTTCAGACACAAAGATCTGCCTGTTCTCACACTGCCGTGCAGCAGCTCAGACCCCCAGGAAGCAGCAGCACTTCAGAGCATAACGGTCCGACAATCCTTCCCAGACCCAAAGAGCTCAGCTGAACTTTGTTTTCCCTAAAGAAGCTTGCCCAGAATTCCTCTCATTCCCTCCCCAGAATTCCTCCTCATTTTCCTCCCAGAATCCCTCCTTCCGTCTCACTCCTGTTGAAGGTGAGGGCAGCATGGCCATTCCCACGCTTCTCACCCGGCTGCTGGCTGCGTGGCTCCCCCGGCTCTGCGAGCTTCCTGCGGTCGGGTACAAGGCCTTTCAGCCTGGCTTTTGCAGGGCTCGTCGGGGCTCGTGGGACATGTCAGTCATTCATGTCCATCACCTAGAATGACTTGGGAATCAGTCAGGCTATAAGCCTGTGATTAGACGGTGGCTGCAGGGAGGCATCATGGGGCCCAGGGACAGCAGTGAAGAGGGGGAGGGCTTCAGAGTCAGAGCTGCCAACTGTGGAGGTCAAGCTTCCTGCCTTGGATGGAGCACTTTGAACACGGTATGTGTGCGTGGGTGTGTGCTGTGTATGTGTGTGTATATATATGGTGTGGTGTGTGGTGTGGTGTGTGTGGTGTGTATGTGGGTGTATGCAGGTATGTGTTGTGTATGTGTGTGTATATATATGGTGTGGTGTGTGGTGTGGTGTGTTATGGGTGTAGTGTGTGTGGTGTGTGTGGTGTGTATGTGGGTGTATGTGGGTATGTGCTGTGTATGTGTGTGTATATATATATGGTGTGGTATGTGGTGTGGTGTGTTATGCGGTGTAGTATGTGTGTATGTGTAGTGTACATGTGGGTGTATGTGGGTATGTGCTGTGTATGTGTGTGTATATGTGTGGTGTGTTATGTGGTGTAGTGTGTATGTGTGGTATGTATGTGTGTGCTGTGTATGTGTGTATATGTATGGTGTGTTATGTGGTGTAGTAGGTGTGTATGTGGTATGTGTGTGTGGTATGTATGTGTGGTGTGTATGTGTAGTGGATGTGTGTAATTTGTATCTGCATGTGTGTGATGTATGTGATGTGTATGTATCTTGAAGTGCTTCTACCAGAAACTGTCACTGTATACATGCCTTTTGTATGTTTTTTTAATCTTAAAAGTCAAATAAGTAACGGGTTTATTTTTCAAGTAAAACATATTTGGGAAATGAAGAAAAAGCAAATAAATAAACAGTTTTTCAGCCCCCATTTCCATGGTTTATTTAAATGTCAGTCTTAGGGCCGGGTGAGATGGCTCAGTGGGTAAAGGTGCTTGCTGCCAAGCCTGAGGAGCTGAGTTCCACCCGCAGGCCCCACATGGTGGAAAGAGCACATCCTCTTGTGACCTCACATTGCATGGTGGCACCTACACACATGAACACACACGATGATGATGATGATGATGTAATTAAATGCCAGTGTCACGTCTTTTTCTTACTGGACTTATTGTACCTCAAAATGCAGAGCTGGAATCATCCTTTACATGGTGAGGTTTAATCAGATGAGATTTAAGTTTTAAAATGAATATTCATATTCATTTTATGCTGGTGAATGTCTTGCGGTTTTAGACTTCTTAATTGCTAAGTCACAGTATAGCTGTATCATTAGATCAGTGTCTAGTGATCTTGGGAGTTCTCACTGTCTGCTTCTCTACGGGAGCACGTCACATTTTAAGCTGTCCTTTCTCCCAAAGCTACTTCAGTGGCAGCTGGGAAGCCAGAAGGAAGGACTTCCCTTGATGTACCGTGCTATTTGGTACCTGGGTTCAAGCCACATCCAGTTGTGATGATCATGTCTCAGAATAAGGCTACCTTGAATCATATCATCTTGCAATTTTCAAAAGACTGTTGTTCACAATGGTCCTACCTACTATGAAGAAATCAGTCCATGCACAAATTCTAACTTGAGTCAGAAACAGTCCCATTAAGGTAGAGTCTCTTGTTGGTGTGACAGAAGAGAGACGGTTGACAGGGAGGCCTGTGCGGTCCCTCGGAGACACCTGGCTTTTCCAGTGACATCAGCAATCTGAAACATCCAGAAAAGTCAGAGGGAAGACTCTCCGTGTGACTCAGTAACATCTCTGAGCTGAAATCCTAGCAGTGCTGAGGGCTTTGTTCAGATACTGGTCTTAATTCCTACGCAGTCACTGCTACGTCCCTTGCTGTGTTACACACCCATCACGGATCTGAAATAGAAAATAAAGGAGGTGAACACGACAAGGGCCCAAAGCTGGCTCAACACCCAGAGATGGAAAAAGCGTATGGATATAACCCTTCTGCAAAAACACAGGACTCCGGGCTGGGGCTGGCGCTCAGTTCTAGAGAAGAGCATGTAACTGCCACACACAAGGCCCTGGGTTCAATCCCTAGAACCACTAATGAACACACACCCAGGAGGGTCTGTACCACCTAGCAGAATGCATATACCTAGTTAACATGGAGATTACCCCACAGCTTAGCTTAGCACAGCAGGAGCCGATGATGATGGCAGGGTCTTCCAGGAAATGCGGTGGTTTTGGCATCTTCTGTTTAAGGGGACAAGGAAGTAAGGATTCTGTCTAGACAAAGTGTCTGGAATGGTTAACTTAAGGTACAGTCCCTTACTAGTGTTTAAAGAGAAGTTCAGTGAATGACTGGGCCGTGGGCATTCTGGAGAACCTTGCCTCTTTCCACAGCACGGAAGTGCATCTTGTGGCTCTAATGGAGACAGCCTCTTCTGAGGAATGTTTTGACCTCTGGACATAGGCTCAAAGCTGGCAAGTTTCCAAGCGTCCCCCAGAGGGACCATTAGCTCAGCACTCCCTCTTGAGAGGTATACTAGTTCAGTGACTTTCTGAGCTTTTCCCAGGTTTCCAAGCATGGAAATCAAGGTGGGGCAGGGCTGGAGACTGCATACAGATGTGTGGTCATCCCATCTGAACAAGAACCAACCTTCAGCCCAAAGACAGCCGGGGACAGGTGGCACATGTAGAGGGGTGGTACCAAGGGACATGTTTTCTGTATCTTTGAACTCCCAGCACCCTGCATGCTGCCTGCGGTGACTGGAGCATCCACATGGTGGCTAACAACCAACCATAACTCTGGTTCTGGGGGATCTGAAGCCTTCCTCTGACCTCGGGTATTGATGAGACAGGTGCACTTACCTACATGCAGCCAATACACTCATACACATAAAATAAAAATAATAAGTATTTTGTAAGAAAGAGGAAGACCACACGTGTGCTGCCAGTGCATGTGAGGAGGGAAAGAGGAGATTTGCTGGTGCAAAAATCCACAACCCGGAGGCCAAGTGGGTCAGCGGTAAGTGCACAGTTCTTGGAGCACCTGGAGTTCCCTCCTGCCCCAGCTGCTTCTCCAGCCTCTGTGTGTGGCAGTTTGCCTTCTCTTGCTATGAAGCTGGTGTAGACACTCTGAGCTCTGGCTGGGATTGTTATCACATTGTCATCCTGAGACCATGTGACCCTGGGGCCTCGCTCCTCACTGTAGAGGCTCCTCACAGCTGTCAGCACAGCCTGAGCGTCCAGAGAAATGGGTCTGCTGCGGGCCTGCCCTGCATCTTCCTCCACGTGTCACCTCCCTTATGGGGCCATTACTTCTCTCTGAGATGAGACATGTTGCTAGGCAACAGGGCCTGTGGTTAGGCGGGCTGAAGCTGCCTGCCTTCTCCAGGGTCCTGATAGCCCCTGCCCTACTTACAATTCTTTTCGCCAGGGGAAGAACTTGCAGGGACCAAGGACTGCCCTGGGTCACTGCTGTACACGTTCTGAGAAACTTCCCCTCCCTCCAAGGACTGCCCTGGCTACAAATTTGGAGGGTTTTTTTTTCCCCTTAAACAACAAAACAAAACTGTGTGCAGATGGCATTCTGTTCACAACTCTTTTGATGCCCAGAATGATGAGTTTCCTCTAATGAAGTCTGAATTTCTGAGCATCTTCTGGAAGCGAGGTGCTGATTTGACGCCTCCTCTCTGGCCGTCACTGCTCTAGCGTCTCACCCCCTTGGGTTGGAGAACTGTTCCGGTGTTGTACATCAGACCCAGTCAAAGCTTTGCTCCTGTAATATGGAGGTCCAGAGTGCAACCCCCTCTCCTGTGGTGGCAGAGCAGGTCTGCATCGCTGCAAGCTGGCTGCCTGCCTCCTGACCCCAGGCTGCGCTCTGCCCATTGTACCTGGTTACTTGGTATTGTTAAATTTGTCAGACTGCCTCCGGAATGTTTGCCATACTTCAAGCCGCCTCTCAAAAAATCAATTAGCAATTCGTTCACCTTTTATCTCCTACTCATGATGGGGTTTCTCTCCTGATTGCTGCTCTGAATGCATATTCATTCCTGGCTTTTTCACCAAGGAAACCAGGGGATGGATATTGGAGAGAATGTGTTTTGTAAAGTCTGCAGGGAAATGGTGTGTGAGTGTGCCTGTGAGGACATGGGGGATCCAGGACAGGGAGGGTGAAGCGGTCCCCTGCTGACCCAGGCGTAGTGAACTTCACCTTTGGCTGAAATTGCATTAACCTCATCCCCCCTCCTCCTCAAGCCCCCCAACTCCACCTCTGGTGGGTGTGTGTGTATACATACGCACACCTGCAAACTTTGTGTTTTGACCCTATGCTCGGGCAGATCTGAGAACTCATGGAAATAAAACAGACTCCTTAGGAGCTCAAAGATGCATTCTGGAGGTGCGACACCAATGGGGATGTAGTAGGTGCAGAGAAATGCAACCTGGCATTCTCTGACTCTGTGGGAAGGCACTCTGGAGACTGTCAGCAGTCTTAAAGGGATGGCTAGGATTTGTCAGCAGTCTTAAAGGGATGGCTAGGGTTTGTCAGACAAGAGAGAACAGACCTCTGGGAAACATAAGTCTAAAATGCCTGCACTCAACTCTGCTTGGGAGAAGTGTGTGTGTATACATACGCACACCTGCAAACTTTGTGTTTTGACCCTATGCTCGGGCAGATCTGAGAACTCATGGAAATAAAACAGACTCCTTAGGAGCTCAAAGATGCATTCTGGAGGTGCGACATGAATTGGGATGTAGTAGGTGCAGAGAAATGCAACCTGGCGTTCTCTGACTCTGTGGGAAGGCATTCTGGAGACTGTCAGCAGTCTTAAAGGGATGGCTAGGATTTGTCAGCAGTCTTAAAGGGATGGCTAGGGTTTGTCAGACAAGAGAGAACAGACCTCTGGGAAACATAAGTCTAAAATGCCTGCACTCAACTCTGCTTGGGAGAACGAAAGGCGAGCTAAGGAACATTATCCAGAGATGGAAAAGAAAAACAAATCCAAGCAGAAGGTGGCAGAGGCAGGAGTACATCAGAAGCCCAGAGAGTGTAAGAGTGAGACCACTGAGGACAAGTCAGCCTTTCGGGTTGCCCAATGTATTAACAGTTTTGTGAGGTTTTTATGGTAACAGAACAACAACAACAAAAAGTCATAAATCAAATATGTTGGTGGAAACATTGAGTGGTTACAGCAAAAGAGAAAGCTCAGCCATAGGCTTCAGGTGCTCTCTGACGACACTCAGTCTTTTGATTGATGGGAGTGGATGATCTGCTAAGTCAATACATTCCAAAAGGTTTTGATCTCTTAGTCAGAGGATGTTAAGAAACAAAGGTGGGCAAGGAGTGGCTATTTAAGGGGCTAAAGATGCCCAAAGATAAATGGTAACTGGATTCTGGACCTACAATATTCCAAACTCCTCAGTCACACTAAAGTTCTGTTAGAACTAGTCAAGGCTATGCAATCTCTAGTCCCCACCTTTCCAGTTTCACTGGTCAATCACCTGGTCATGGGACCACCCTGAGGAAGGCAGGTTCATCTTAAGTCATGCTAAATAGATGCATAGAATACCTAGTGTGTTGATGAGATAGTGTGCCTGGAATCCCGCCTCCCAGCACAGAGCTTCAGGACCCGCTCACAGCATGTAGGCCTCTGTAAATCTGCCTGCTTTCCTGAATTCTTCAGAAAAGCATAATGGTGATGCAAAAGCATAACTCTCACCTGTTAGGGGAGAAGAGATAGTTTATTCTGGAGCCAAATATGAATGACCATGGCCCAGGAACACAGATTCGGGTTACCCCAGATTCCATGTTCCAGCGTGGTAACAGTTGCCTTACATTTTTATAGTAACAGAACAAAGAAGTCATAAATCAAGACACTTTTCAAATACACTGGTGGAGACATTCAGTAGGCGGGTTGCAGCAAAGCGGGAGGTTCCTACTATAGGTCTCAGATGCTATCTGATGACATTCTTAGCTTTTGGATTGGGGAGACCTGGTGGTCTGCTAAGTTCATACATTCTAAAAGATTTTTATCTGTTAGTCACAGAACGTTAGATCAGAAACAGGGGTAAGGAGGCTGTTTAGGGGGCTAAAGATGGCCTGAGATAAATGGTAATTAGACTCTGGATCTGCAACATTCCAAACTCTCCATGGTCTCTGAAGTGATAATCAGTTGGTCAGTCTTGCCGGAAGTTCAGTCCCAGGTGCAGAAATTCTTTATGGGAACTTTTCTTTCACAGTATCTCTCCTTTTCTTCTTCATATAACTTTTCTAAACACGCTTTCTTTAACCCTTCGGGCTGCCTGGCATCTTGTATTTCTTTACTTTCTCTAAAGCTTCCTCCTCCAAGCCATGTGACCGCCAGTCAGCCACGTGTCTGACCCCCATGCAGGCTCCAAACCTGCCTGGCTTCATGGCTTTCTTTCCTCCTCCCTCCATTCCCCTCCTCAAGGCAGCTGCCAAGATTACTAGCTTGCCTGCCCTGAGGATTTTCCTTACAATTTTAATAAAATTGTCCTAAAGCTTCAGCTTGGGCCCACTCTTAGATTCTTTTATGAATGAGACTAAGAACTGTCTAGGGGACCCTATTTCTCCACATCTCAGTTCTAATCAGCTGATCAGTCTTTATAGAATGTTTATTTTTAAGACAGTTTTTCTGAGAACTTTTGTTCACACCAGCTGGAATGTCCTTATTTGCCCAAAGCCCAGATTTTAGCCTTTGTTATGGAAAAATCGGGAGAGACCAGCAGCCAAAGTCAGGAGGAGAGGAAGTTTATTCTTAATGCTAGTGGGACCAACAAGGGGATCATTCTGTAAAGGTGCCAGCCCCCGACTCAAGTTTTTTGGGGTCCTTTATACTCATGTGAAGAATGTAAGCAAAGGGAAAATAGCACAGACGTGATAATTAAGCAAGTGGTTTACGTGTAACTTACGGAGCTAAGGTCACAGGAATGTGGCAGTTTGGAAAACAAAGACTTCTGTCCTGGTAACCACAGGGGGTGGGGGAAGATGCCTGTTCACCTCCCCCATTTCTGTTTTCTGTCACTGAACTTTCCCTGCTCCAAAATCTTTATCAACCACCCTAAGGGTTTCAGACCATCCCATTGTGAGAGCTTTCAGCAACCATCTGATGTGGGCTTTTATTTCCACTAACCCATCTCTACTTCCTCTTCTCCTCCCCCTCCCCCTCTTCCTCCTCCTCTTCCTCCTCCTCCCTCTCCTCTTTGTCTTCCTCAAGGTCACCTACTGGGTGTTCAGTACACGTTAGCCTGGAAGTAATTGTGCTGGACAGCTTTAATGTCAACTTGACACACCTGGGTTGAGGGAGCCTCAGTCGGGGAATTGCCTCCATTGGACTGGCCTGTGGCCATGTCTGTGGGGCATCTTCTTGATTGATGAGTGATGTGGGAGGGCCCAGCCCACTGTGGGTGGTGCCACCCCTGGGCAGGTGGGCCTGTGTTGCATAAGAAGGCAGGCTGAGCAGGGGCCAGGGGAGCAAGCCAGTAAGCAGCGTTCCTCCATGGCCTGTGTTCCAGCTCCTGCCTCCAGGTTCCTGCCCTGAGTTCCTACCTTGGGCTCCCTGATGAACTGCGACCTGGGAGTTGTAAACTAAATAAACCTGGTCAGAGTATTTTGTCACAGCAATGAAAGAACAAAGCAGGACACCTGTTAAGCGGTTTTCTCACAAATTCCATTCGTCCTATTTTCAGATGTGGAAACTGAGGCTTAGGTAGCTTGGTCAGTATCATATAGTTAATAACCAGCACAATATGCACTTGAACCTGGTGTCCTCTGGTGCTTGCAGCCTGCCATGCCCGTGGAATCAAGGTCTCCGTCTCCAGGCAACTGCTTTTGCTGCCTCACCAGCCTCCCTTTGTTCTTCAACCAAGTTTCTGGGCTGTGAGCTTTTCAGAGTTCACCCCTTTTTTTTTTTTTTTTTAAGTTTTCCCTTTGAAAGTAATAGAACATTGGCACGAGGAAAATGGAGAGTTTTTCTACCATGGAAGAAACTTGCTTTGGGTGGA